AAAAATGGGCCCATTTTTGGCCTCCCAAATTCCCCAGACGTGCCATTTTTGCTTTCCCCAGCCTGCAGGAGCACTCTCCCAAACACTCTGCATGCCCTGTTTTTGGTGAAAACGGATGTGCGGGGTGGGGTTTCGGGAGACCAAAAATAGCCATATTCGGTGTATAAGACACACCAACATTTCCAACCTGTTTTTTGGGGGGGGAGTGCATCTTATACTCCAAAACGGATGGTAATTGATATTATGTATTTATGTTGTACAACACCCAGAGTCACATTGTCTGAGTTGAACAAGCCTTATCAGCATTTAATTTAGTACTTATGCCCAGTTCCTTACTGATGCAAATCTGTGATGGAATGTAGTCTGGATTCCCAGGCGGGAGGGAGGTGCATTCTAGAGGAGCAAAAGACAATTCGAACCTATGCTTGTTACCACTTTTCTGTATTCAAGTTCCACAAACAGATTTGTTATAGAACATTACAATGGAAAATGAAGGCTATGGCCTGGCAATAATAATTAAACATGAATGATCCGGCAAAAAATAAGATAACTAGTGCAGAGTGAAAGTTTGAAATCACTGGAGGCGAAAGCATTTTGAAACTAATTTATCTGAGGAGGAAGTAGCCCTAAAGCAATATGTAACCTATCTATCTCCTTTATTGTGCCCTAGAAATCCTAGAAATCAACTGCTTGTTTTGTCAATGAATACTGAGAAGTGATGGCATGATTTCACATTCCTGGCAGGAAAGAAAAAGAGTTCTGCATTAGGTTTAGCACACCAAAATCCTAAAAACAGCCTATATGCTGCACCCCTAAAATGACACCTCGAAATCTCAACTCTGTGCATGCCCAGCATGTCAAGGTCCCTCCCACTTTTCTTCTTCACTGTATGGAAGTTTTCTTTCATTAGTTCTGTTACTTTGTGATACAAACAAATTTACACCATCCAAACTGTAGTAAACGTACAACTTTTTCAAGGTGGAAATCACATCTTTCCTTAAGGACTTTTTTCCCCTTCTGAATATAACTAATGTAAAATTCATTTTCTAGACTGTACTATCCTGATTCATCTCCCCTGCATATGTTCCAAATGCCTCTTTTTATCAAATAGCTGTATCAATTTTACTAAGTCCACGTCTTGTTATTTTATTTTATTGGTTTATTTTCTTATGAATGCGATTATTATATTGGAAAACAGAAACCACCCTTATTTCTGTCTTATTTTCCCCCAAAAGCAAAATCAGATGAGCAATGTTTAAAATCAAAGGTCAAAGAATGAGTTCCCTAAGATCCAAAATCATATGATCTAGAAACTTGCTTTTACAACAAATTTATTTTGCCATGTGTGGAAATTCTCCAGCCTCTGAAAACCTTTCAATGNCAAGCTGACTGGCAAAACCACATATTTAGGTCCTTACAAAAAGATATGA